ACTGGAACCACACAGGATGTGTTCGAACAGACAACGGAAATACCAATTATGTAAACATAGAACGAGGAGTGCGTCAAGGGTGTATTCTGTCCCCTCTTCTATTTAATGTCTATGCCGAAAATATCATCAGAGCTTCTCGTGAAGATCGCCCTGAAGGTGCCAGAGTCAATGGAATCATCATTAACAATGTAAGATATGCCGATGACACCGTAGTATTAGCAGAAACAGAAGACCAACTAAAAATATTGATGAACATACTATCAGAAGAAAGTTACAGACTAGGTTTGCATATTAATCTTTCCAAAACCAAAATCATGGTATTTAACAAGAGCCCTCATGAACAAATTACACCCAACATACAAATCAATGGGATCACCCTTCAGAGCTCCCAAAGCTTCATATACCTGGGCAGAGAGCTAAACAGTCAGCTAGACCACTCAAAAGAAATTAGAAGACAGTATTGAAATAGCAAGATCTGGCTTCATGAACATGCGTTAAAATGCTCTGTAACCCCAAGCTATCAATCACAATAAGGTTAAGAACACTAAAGTGTTATGTGTGGTCTCTACTACTATATGGCTGTGAGACCTGGGCATTAAAACAGTATGACGTCAACAAACTGAATTCATTCGAAATGTGGATGTACCGCCGAATGCTAAGAATAAGCTGGACCAGCAAAACTACAAATGAAGAGGTACTGGAAATAATGAACACACGACCTCATCTGGTTAATACAATCAAAATTAGAAAGACGTCATATCTACGACACATAATGCGCCATAAGGAATTTGAGCAGCTCCAGGTAATATTAGAAGGCAAAATCGAGGGTAAAAGGGGTATAGGAAGAAAGAAGAAATCCTGGCTCCGAAACATCAGAGATTGGACTCACACAACAGGAAATGACTTAATCCATCAAGCCCAGAAAAGAGAGAAATTTGCCATATTGATCGCCAACCTCAATAGAGAAGGCACTTAGGAGGAGGAACATCTTTAAAATTTGTAATGTATTCTTCTTCTTCAGGTGCCATCTCCGCTACGGAGGTTGGCAATCATCATAGCTATCTTAATTTTTGAGGCAGTAGCTCTAAATAGTTGTTTTGAGCTGCATCCAAACCATTCTCTCAGGTTCTTCAGCCATGAAATTCGTCTTCTTCCGATGCTTCTTCTACCATCTATTTTTCCTTGCATTATGAGTCGCAGGATGCCATACTTATCGCCCCGCATCACATGTCCGAGATACTGTAGCTTTCTTTCTTTAATTGTAAGTTCAATTTCCTTCTCTTTGCCTATTCTTCTCAGTATTTCATTGTTTGTAACTCTATCTACCAGGAAACCTCATAATTCTTCTATAGGTCCACATTTCAAAGGCGTTAAGTCGTCTCATGGTATCTAGATTTAACGTCCATGATTCCACTCCATAATATAGTACACTGTATACGTAACATTTTGTTAGGCGTACTTTAAGAGCTAATGTTAGATCTTTGCCACATAGGACCTTTTTCATTTTTATAAAATTAGAACGTGCTTTTTCGATTCTGACTTTGATTTCTGCCGTGTAGTCATTATTTGCACATGCGCAAATTTCTTTTGAGCGAAAATTTTTCCGGTGTCAAGTAGGCTTAAGACCTTAGCAGAATTTGTATTTTTTTAATATCTTTTTAAGATGCAGTTTTCCACAATTTTACTATCTTTAATGTACCCTTTAGTGGTCTATGAAGCATAAATAAGAAAGAAGTGAACAAACTCAGATTAATATTTCCCAGTATATTGGAGATTTTAAGGGATCGTTCAAATGAAAACACCATGTATATTAAGGACAAACAGTACCGTGAACCTGGAGTGCTCAATATCAATTCTTTTTATAGTGGGTAATACGAAATAAAGTTAAGACTTGTTAAAACTTGCTATCAATAAAATATTTAACAGATACTCTGCTTATTTTATATCATATTGGAGATTATCTCGAAACAAAATGAGGGATTGACGTCACCAATAACGTTAAACATTACTGTTGCATGATAAAACATCAATAAAAACTGTTGGCCCTAAATACATCGGTATCTTCATAGTCCTTAATAACTTCAATTTAATTAACTCTTAAATCTATTTGAACGTGCCTTATGTGAATAAAAGTAATAGTATCTTATAGTGTACATAACATTAGGTTTAAAAAAATAAGGTACTCTATCACTGTCACACATTTTCACGCACTTCAAATAATAAATAAAATCAGTCATTTCAATCAAATCAGCAATCATTCGATAAGTTACCAGTTCGACTATTATACAACCGATCGTGCAAAAAGAATATCTAAATTCAAAATATATTATGAATTTTGTCTAATTTGAGCTTTACGAGAAAATATCTTGCCTGATAATACGATATTGGTTTTCTACGACTAAGAAACATTGCGTTTTGTTACTTTTGTATTTGTATGTGAAGTTTGAAAACTGTCATTTGTCAAGTCGCTATGCTATGTATTTTTTGGGACATAACCTCTAGTTTTTTGCAATTTGTAAAATGCACATGCTTTTGTAAAACGTTCTTTCTCAAAATAGACGTTTATTGAGCCATCTACAATTTATTATTACTACATAGCAATTATTTGGCTACGAGGAAAATAATTTGACAAATACTTTAAAGAAAACAACATTTTAATAGTTCAAAATGCCTAGAAATGAAAATAGCAATGCCATGGGTTAACAACTAATAATTAATGTACTAAATACGGGCGGTGTATTTTCATTAGCCATTTTTAAACAGGGTGACGACTTTGAAGTTTTTGAGGAACGCTTGAAGCAATATTTTGGTGCAAATTTGATTAAAGATTCTAGAAGGGTTGCTGTTTTAATCACATCACGAAGTGAGGAGGTTAATAAAGTTTTAAGAGATCTATGTAACCAGAGAAGCCAAAGGAGAAAGATTTTGGAACACTAATGAAACTTTTGAGTACTCATTTTAATCCTAGATTGTCGGTGTACTGAAGAAGGGTAATTTTTGACCTGTTAAGACAAGGACAAGAGTAAGGTAACGATTTGTATCTGAAAATTAAAAACAACGCAGCACAATGCGAGTTTGGGGGCAAATTGTTATAAGGGATCAAAGATAAGTTTTTGGTTGGCATGAGGCGAGGGCCAATACTAGATAGACTTTGCGAAAGAAAATCCATTAAAAAATTTGCAAGATTTTTTGGAAATTGCTTTGAGTAAGGAAGCAGCATTAAGGGGAACAAGGTAAAAAAGTGGAGACTAATAGACTTCAACAAGTAAAAAAACTGGAACCCCGAGTGGAAAAGAAATAGTGGAGAATTGGAAGAGGAAGGCAGAGGTAAAGTGTCTTCTTCTTCTTCTTGTAGTACCTATCCGTTTCGGATGTTGGCGATTATCAGGTAAAGTTTAATTACTACAATAAAACAAATCATACCTTTGGTAAGTATAAATATAAAAAAATTATTTGTAAAAAGTGTGGCAAAGGACGTCACATAATTGCAGAAATGGAGAAAAACGTAAAACACGTAAAATGGAGAAAAATAATTTATCAGAGAATGTAGAAGATTATTTAAAGTTGTTTAGTTTAGATTTGGAAGAAATAAATTCTATAAAGCCAATATGTGTACCTACTTTACTAGAGACTGTGTCATTAATTGACACTGGGCCTGGAATTTCTTGTTTACCTTATTCATTTTATAAAGAGAAACTAGGTCATGTTCATAGGTCATGAAAATTTGCCCTGATCAGTTATTTGACTTGTCAAAAATTTCAAATGTTTTTAAAAGAAAGTTGGGTTCATATAAACATGAGAATCCGTTTAGAAATTGATAAAAATGTTAAACCCTTTTTCGACAAACCTCACCCAGTTCCGTTGAACAATGAACTTCACAAATTATAAGCTGAAAAGGTTATAGAGAAAATGTCGTAACTCAAATTAGGGAAAACGGTTAGTACCCGTTATGAAAGCAAATGATAATATTCATATTTGTGCTAATTATAAAATAACAGTGAACATGTATTTAAAAGATTATAATCATCCCTTACTCACAATAATGATGTCCTTGTTGCTCTACTGGGTGGTCAAAAAATTACTAATTTTGTCGTCCCTATTTATTTTTTGGGACATAACCTCTGGTTTTTGGCAATTTGCAAAATGCACATGTTTTTTTTTTGTAAAATGTTCTTTTTAAAGTGATGTTTATTGAGCTATCTACCAAGCTCTACTAAATATCGACCTAACAAATGAAAACAAAAATAACAATTTATGATTTAACGATAATTTTGCACAATCAGTAGCATAATAGTCGAAATTAGGTACAATAAACCCATAAAAACAAAATAAAAGCGGATATCTCACTTATATTAAAGAGATCAACAAAGTTTAATTTTTTTAGTTTTTGTATATATGTAATTTCGATAGACAATTTACACCCTTACATTTTAATTATAATAATTTGAGTGCCTTTTCAAAACAATTTGAAAAAGGCTACAAAGAACAGCCACTTAAAAATTAACAATAAAACAATCAATTTTTGATTGTAAACAATGTGTATGGTGTATATGACAATCTAGGGTGTTAAGTGAAAATAGAATTTCACATTTCGATATCACAATACAATACTTATACTACGAGATAACACTGGAAAATCACTACGTTAATAACGTAGTTAATCAAACTCACATTTTTACATATACTTATGAATAGGAGAATACATTGATAACAGGTTGCCAGTCAAGAAGGTGCACGGAAATAGTTTTAATTCGATTAATAGTCATTATTTTTGAACAAAAATTGTATTTAGTTTATTTATTTTTTAAATAAAAATACACTCATGACGTTTATACATGTTTTTTTTTATATCAAATTAAAGCTATTTTTTTAAATACGGTAAAACCTCCGTTAAACCGAAACGGCTGACAGTTTCAATAATTTCGTCAATAAAAAGTAAATTTTTATCTCAAAACGAAAACAATTCGATTTTAATTTGTCAATATCTTCAACATTGCTTTCGTACAACTAAAGAATGTAATTAAAGATACATCACATGTTTTTTATCTCTATCAAAGAGGGAATCTAATCCTTATGAAAAGGAGACCAAAAAAGTGGCCTCTGATGGCGGACATATCCGGAAATGCGAATGCGCCAAATTTAAATTTTCCGACACTTATCAACAGTAGCTATATAATATTTTTCAGAATGTGTCTTAGACGAGAAAGTTTTAATTAATTATTAATGATAAGAGTCTAAAATGCGACACAATTGTTAAAAAACTTCAATATAAATAAGATTTCATGTGACATTTGGGACAAACAATAAACATAAACCCAACTAAATTTGATGTCAAACAAGGAGAGAGACTCTCTTTCCTTGTTTAATGTGGCCTCTAAAGATCGCACTTCCTGTCTAACAATATGTTTACCCCCACTACCTTTACATTCCCTCTTTTGTCTTTTTGCTCGATGCTCAAACGTCTAACGGCAGCGCGTACCAAATAAATCTCGGACACAGATAGGCAACCAGGAATTCAATTACTTTTCGGTCAGTTTTTATACAGTGACAGTTTTATAAAATAGATTGTGGATTGTTTTCTTTTCTGTCTATAACTGATATTATAATGTTTTGATTTGTTATGGAGGTGCAAATAAAGTGTTCTAGATGCGAAATGACTATCAGTAAGCAATGGAATTTAAAAAGACACATCAAGTTCAAACATTCTGGTAAAAATCAATTTAAATTTATTTTATAAATGGTATTTATAACTTGCATTTCTATATTTCAGGAAAGGAAATTCCTCAAATACAGAAAGAACATAAGTTTGAATGCAGTATCTGCAACAAAACATTTGAAAATAAGAGGAAATTTAACTACCATAAAAAAACATGCTAGGTACTACACAAAATCTTCGAAATAGATCAGTACAAGGCAACAAAAAATGTCCACTTTGGGATTATTCATCAGTGGTGACATTACATTTGCATAAACATTTTGAAAATATTCATGAACTAACTTTACAATTTTGTAACCACAAATTTACATGTTTAGAAGAATTTACTACTTGGAAGAGCCAACTTGAAAGAGATACTAGTTCTTTTTTTGTGAAAAGAAGAGGTACTTTTTCTGCAAAAGACCACACAGTTTCAATGTATTGTTGTCATAGATCGGGCATTTTTAATTCCACAAGCAAAGGTATACGTCACCTAAAAACCCAGAGAAGTAACAGAATAAATGGGTATTGTCCAGCATCAATAAAGCTTATTATGAAGCCTAGTGTTGATTTTGAAATTACATTCTTGGAAACTCATGTTGGTCATGAAAGTGATATTGGCCACCTATGTTTAACAAAAGATGAAAGAGAAACATTGGCTGCAAAGATGGCCTTAAAAATCCCAATGACTCAGATATTGGACAGTGTACAAGATTCTCTGCATACTGATTCCCAGCTACAAAGGATTCATCTTCTTACAAAAAAAGATCTTTATAACATAGAGAAAAACTTTAATTTACAGTCAACAGTTTTTGCACAATATCTAGCTATGACAGTTTACGGGTACATTTTTCCTGGAAATGGAAATAAAACTTTCGAGTTTTATAATTTTCCCCTAAATAGCTATTAATAAAGTTTTCGTTACACAAATAAGGAGGATAAAATTGCGTGTACCTAGTATTGTATTGTATCTGTAAAAAATAAACGTTCCATAAAACACAACTGAGCTAAATAAATGCAATGAAACATACATACACCTACATTTCATATACCCCATACACAGATAACAAAAATTTTTAAGAAATAAAAACGAATCCAACAACAAAGACTCTGCGAACAGAGCTACGTCCCTCAGTTTATAAAAATTATAACATAACAACAGGGAAACACTTACAACTAATAAAAACAGAGAAGTAATGAACTACAATGAACAGTTCTGACTGCCACATTCAGACTCACTTTCCGAATCCTCGGAATTGGAAGTATCGACTTCATAGTGGAGTTTTTCATCTGGATCATAGAACACTTCTGCTCCTGGGAAGATATATCGGCTCGGGGGTATTAGGTGGAAGGCGTTCTCTGGCAATCTAAAGATAAAAATAAACAAATATTAATGTTAAAATACAAACATTTAGTTTTTACAACATTGTAGCACCGTTAATATAGAAAATTAGCAGCAAATCGTTATTAATGATTAACTGCACAAAATTTGTACATTTTTTTTTTAATAAATTTACGATAGTGGAAATCACATTCAGATGGCAGTGTACGGATATAGGATAACAGTGTTGCCAATTGTACTGGCATTGTAAATTTTGCTACTTTTGTAAAATAAGCAGAGCCAAACTCAGGGTAGACTAAAATATGTTTAAGTTAAAATTTTTAATAGAATATTAATGAATCAAATAACTGGTCATACTTCTGTTAAAAACTGGTTAATCACAGTTATTAAATTATATGAACTACATTAAAATCAGCGGAATAATTATACCAGCAACTTAAAAAATGCATTCATGAGGTTGTAAGTGAAGCTTTGGGGTATAAAGACAAACATAAACCAAAAAATTAAGAATGGTGGTCGGAGAATATGCAAACGTTAGTAAACAAGGAGAAAATTTTTTATTAGAAATGAATGTCAACGGAAAAGGAGGAAGATTACAAGATATATAAAAATTAAATCGAGATGTAAAAAGAGAAGCAGTGAAAATGAGATGTGGAATCGAATATGTGCAGAGGTGGATAGGTATATGGGTGGACCAAGAGTTTTGGCAAGCTTGGAAGGTGATAAAGTCTATCCAGAAGGAAGGAAAGAAAAAAACTAACTTACAGTTATTAGATCTGAAACAGTGGAAACACCATTATGAGGTCTTACTGACAGATGACAGATGTAAATTCGAAGAGATCGAAATAGAAGAAATATCCGAACATACACAAATAATTGAGATAACAACCGGAGAGTTAAGCGATGCCCTCAAAAGATCAAAAAACGGTAAAGCAACAGGACCAGGAGACATCCCAATTGAGTTGATAAATATGGACCAAAAATATAACATGAAATGTTGGTTAAACTATTTAACAAATGCTTAAAAGGAAAAAATATCCCTGATCATTGGAATGTTGGATACATCAGCATCATACAAAACCCTTATACAGCCAGTGTTGACATATGGATCGGAGACATGGACCATCTCCAAGGCAGACGAAGACCTTTGCTTATATTTGAACGAAGGATCCTGAGAGGAATATTTGGTGGCATCTGTGAAAATGGTGTTTGGAGGAGGAGATACAACTACGAGGTATACCACAGATATAAACAAATATTTGGTGGTAAAGACATAGTATCTCTTATAAGAATAGGAAGATTAAGATGGGCAGGACATCTAGCAAGATCACAGCAGAACAACCCTCCTAGAAGAATCCTTATGTCACAACCGTGGGAAGCAGAAAAAGGGGTAGGCCAAAACTCAGATGGAAGGATGGTGTAGATGAGGATGGTAGAAAAGATAGGCGCAGCAAACTGGCAACAGTTTGGCAATGGATAAGACTGCCTGGCGTAATAGACTTGGGAAGGTCGAGGCTCTTTCATAGGGCTGCAGCACCATTGATGATGATGATGATGTTGGTTAAACTATTTAACAAATGCTTAAAAGGAAAAAATATCCCTGATCATTGGAATGTTGGATACATCAGCTCAATGGACCTCCATGGAGGTCATACTTGACCTTCCTCCATTACATAATATGAATGGAGAAAGAGGCATAGATAGGACCCTACAAAAGACGAATAAAACGCCAGAAAGCAGGGCGAAAGGGTACCGGGGTCAAATCTGGAAAGATAATAAAAAATCATCTAGAGTTTGATCATGCCAGTGAACATGAAGGCTTTTATACATGAACATTCATAGAAGTTATTCAAAGATATACTATAGATAAAGTCACGTTCAGATGGCAGTGTACGGATATAGGATAACAGCGTTGCCAATTCTACTGCCATTGTAAGTTTTGCTACTTTTGTAAAATAAGCAGGGCCAAACTCACGGTAAACTAAGATATGTTTAGGTAAGCTAAAGTTGTTAATAGAAAATTCGTGAATGAAATAAATGGTAATAATTCCTAAAGTGCTTTTATACATAATACCGCAGTTAATAGGGAAAAAAATATGAAAAATATTCTTCCGGGTTTTTAATGTTCTAAACGGTAGATAAGGGATAACTGATGATAATTCCTTGAAGAAATACAGCCAATTTTGCTTTGTTTATTTTTTAAAGAAAGATGAAGTTTGGAAAAAATCATTTTTTTACCTATTTTGTTCCTCGTGCATTTTAGGGAAAAATGTTTCAAATAAATGTTGCAGATCTTAAAAAGTTTTTTAATTTTTTAGTTTGTAAATTAAAATACATAAACAAATGACTGAGATAATTGCAAAAAAACCCCTAATTGAGGCTCCTAGAACACAAGGGTGTAAGTGCAGTTGCTTATCACTTAGCAACTGATATCTAACAACAGGCACGTACTTTTGGCTTCAAACTTTCTACATTAACAACAATAACACCATCAAAAATTACATGTCATTGAAAACATGCTGAAAACTGAAAAAGTGCTACCTAGGTTTTTAAATTTATATCGAACTTTGAACAAAGATTTTTCAAAACTTTGTTTTTGGCACTTACACCCCTTGTGTTCTAGGGGCCTCAATTGTGCATTAATTTATTAAATGTTCATAACTTTATTTTTTGCATAATGACGTCTAATATAACTACTTGAAATTATGTCGATTAATGAGTTATTTAAGTGTGCTACATTTCAACCAGATCAACTAAATATTTTATTACCTTTACTGAGAAAAGAATACCCCGAAAAACAATTTTCAATCATCTTCATTTTCATAATCTAGTTCATCTTCAGAGTCATCGTTTAATGAAATTCTAATAGGTTCAATGTCATCTTGAATGTTGTCTACTGTCCAAAAATTATTCTCCAATTTTATAACATGGTTGACGTAATTTTTCCAATGTCTATTGTTCTGTACTTTATCATAACCTTTATAAATCAATGTTTTAACGTCATTTTGTTTGAAACTTGAATTCTTAGAGGACACGTACCGTTTCACTTCACTCCACACCATTTCTATTGGGTTCAGTTCACAGTGATAAGGCGGAAGTCTTAAGATATGTACATCTACGCGGCATTGTTCGTCACTGTGATTCCTGTATTTTTCACCAATACAATCAATTTTGTATTTGTCATGAATATTTTTAAATACATTAGCAGTTTCCAGAAGTTCATTTTTTAAGTAATCTTCTTCAAAATAAATGTCCTTTTCATAGAGCCACTCCTTAATTTGACGTTTCACCCAATATTGTTTGGGAAAATTTAATTTCCTAGAGTGATAAGATGCATTGTCCAAGATAATGACATTCTTTTTATTTTTTGGGAGATTCGGTATTAACATCTCTTCAAACCATTTTTCAAATAGATCTCCGTCCATCTCTTCATGGTAATCTTCAGCACCTTCAACAAATCCGTCTTTGTTTCCTGCATGGACTAAAACAAATCTTGGTCCTTTTCCGGTCGGAGTTTTTAAACCTGTGGTAAGTCCATTTACGAAAGCCTGTCTGCTATTTTTTATTGTTGTATCTTGCCATACTTGCCCATTGGTTATTCCAGTATTAATCCATGATTCGTCCATATAAATGATATTGGCTCCTTCGTTCCTCAGTTTCTTTTTTCCCGGAGATAGTGACGCCTCCAAGCGACTATTTCTTGTTTTTCTATTAATATTGAATTTCTACCTTGTTTGCCATATATAAAACCCATGTCGTGCAATAGTCTTCTCAACGTACTCTTGGAAAAATTCGGAAGATGCTCCATTTGCTTAATTTTTTCTAGTACTACGTCAAGGGTTGGAGGAATATTGTCCATAAAAAAACCGTGCACTTCTTGTCTTATTCTAGACCGAGTTGCTTCATCATATCTATTCTCACGACTATTCAAATAACCGGTTCTTTTTTTTTCTTATAGGAGTTACGAGTGGACCATTTTTACTTTTACTTCTATATCGGAATATCGTTCGCTCAGAGACTCCAGTCATAGCAGAAACTTCCCGCACTATTGTTGATACACTTTTATCATTATTACTGTTTGATAAATAGTTAAAAACATTTAACACTATTTTTTTGCATTCACTATTTAACAAACGTCTAATATCAACTGAAAATTCTTTTAATGACTCTCAAGTATTTTACCTGAATTTATAATTGCTGGCATTAGACAATAATTTTGAATTTATAAATAGGTATATTTTTTTAATTCTAAATTATTTTTTAATGTCTGTAACTGTAAATGCAGGTAGAGAAAGTGTGTCATTAAAAGGACATGAAGATCAAAAACGGATTATACAAATAATTATTTCATTTCCACGAATTGTAAACAATTTTGAACAGAAGATATAATTCCGAAAAGACCAGATTTCCGAAATACTACTTTCTATTTTTAAAATACCAACAGAAAAATTATATAATTAAAAAAATGTAGTATTTTTCCGTTTCACATTCATAAATATTTCCGAAATTATAATTCTTTTATAGGAGCCGGCCCATAACGTACGATTGTAGGTACGATTAAAAACTGACAACAATGTAGTTATTTCTGGCATATAGAAAGTACAGGCCTATCTCTGTAACGCTGCCATCTGAATGTGAATTTATCTATAGATAGATAGTAATGATCTGCGAATTATGGAAGATCAACTAACAGAACAGACTCTCCTTTAAGGAGCACAATCCTGATTTTATCAAGCTGAAGACCAGATGGCGAAACACTTTTGTCTACAATATTCACGAAACTAATAAGCCATGCTTATGATGCCACGTACCAGGTACCAAATTAAGCAAGAACTCATTCCCTTAACAATTTTAACATAAAAAAGTGTTTCATTTGTATCATACTTTTGTCACTTCTTTCATAAATAAATCTAGTGTCAAAACACAGGTACATAGAATTAGCTACTGCATAGAAGCCTTTATCAAAATCCACAAGGAAAACAATTCCTGTAGCTGACTGTATACCACGTATCACAAAAAAAAAGAGGTTAGTCTTCGTAAGTGGGTATATTTATTTAAAAACCCTTAAAAGGGCTACATCAAAAAAAACAACGTTTTCGGACTAAACAGTCCATCATCAGGTTTAAAATCGCTAGGTTAAAATGCCTGAGCCACCAAAAATACATGGGTAAAAACCCTTTAAATTACATATAGTTATAAAAGATTATTAGTTGGCACACGAATTCGAGCTAGAATCTCAAATGCGAAGAAGGAGAGAAGTACCAAAAACAACGCGTCTCAATATTGAAATGCTCAAAAATCTGCAAACAGTAGAAAGGTTTCAAAACTATATCGAAACTAAATACATAATTCATGAGGACCTAACAATTAGTGAACAATGGGAAATGTGTAAAAATAATATTAAAGAGGCAGCAAATAATATTCTAGGCCCAGAAAGACCACCACCACATAATGACTGGTTTGATGCTGAGTGTGAGGACATTACAAGAAGAAAGAACGATACATATAAACTGATACAACAAAGAAGAACCCGAGAAAAACAGCAAAAATATAAAGACCTCAGAAAAGAAGAGAAGTGCATTCATAGAAGGAAAAAGCGAACTCACGAAAATAGAATATTGGAAGAACTTGAGGTATTAAAAAAGGAAAACCAAACAAGAAAATTCTACAAAACTCTGAATAACGCAAGAAAGGAATTCAAACCAAGGCTCAGACTATGTAAGGATAAGGAGGGGCATATACTAAATACAAAAGAAGAAGTACTGAAAAGGTGGGTGGAACACTTTAAAGAACTACTTACTATAGAAGTAGAAGATCCAGATCCAAATCAACCACCCGGAGGAGCAAGCAACAATTCACCATTAGAACCTCCGTCAATTCAAGAAGTACAAGATGCAATAAAACACCTAAGAAACAATAAATCTCCAGGAAGTGATGGTATACCCGCGGAACTTATCAAATGTGGAGGTGCTTCTGTGACTAATCAAATATATAAAATAATACTGAGAGCCTGGAATGAGGAACAAATCCCGGAAGAGTGGTGTATTGGAATCGTTTGCCGCTACACAAAAAGGGTGACCAATTGGAATGTAGAAACTATAGGGGAATAACCCTCCTTAATACAGCATACAAAATATTTTCGAGGATCATATATGGTCGCCTAAGTACATATTCAGAGGAACTTCTCGGGGAATATCAAAGTGGCTTTAGGCCTGGTTGATCAACAACAGATCAGATCTTTGTGCTAAGGCAAATACTGGAAAAAACCAATGAATTCAATATCGATCGAACAGCTCGAAACTTCAGTTTCCAGCTGTTCTCCGTGCGTAGAGGTTTACTCTCCTGCTCTGGAACTCAATTCAGCCATGTATGTACCTGAAGTCATATTTAATTTATTACTGAACATCACAGTTTTTTAACAACAATATGTATAATCTTTTATAACTATATGTAATTTAAAGGGTTTTTACCCATGTATTTTTGGTGGCTCAGGCATTTTAACCTAGCGATTTTAAACCTGATGATGGACTGTTTAGTCCGAAAACGTTTGTTTTTTCGATGTAGCCCTTTTAAGGGTTTTTAAATAAATATACCCACTTACGAAGACTAACCTCTTTTTTCCTTTATCAAAGCCTGTTGCATAGAACACAGAAAAACTTTGATACTGTCATTTAGTTTTATTTTCTATTCATTTTTTTTTCTGACTCCAGCTAGTATTTATTTCATAAGAAATATAACCACTCTTTCCCAGGTGATCCTACATTTAAATCTTTTCATGGCTTGGAATTTATTTATAAAATTATAAAAACTTACCTATCTGCCAGGCTCTTCTTCACCTTGGGCTGCCAATATCCTCTAAGATCCGAGGTGCTCTTTCGAAATCCTTCTGAGGACGTCGACGAGTCATTACAAATCTCTAAACAAAAACTAGTAGCACTTTTCTCTTCACCGTTTTCGTCCGATTCGTATTTATCGGTAAAGTTCGAATTCTCGCCGATACCCGAATCTTTGGCCGAATCGATACTCATGTGTCTCTCTTTCCCGCTTTTATTTTCTAATTCGCTATCGTTAATTGACTTGTATGTAAAACATAAGCACTGCGTTTCAGTGTTCACGTCTGTGCTTAAGGAACTACTATTTGTACTCTTGCATATACAATGGGAGGAATTCGACTCGTGTGGGTAGTTGAAGTCTATGCTGGGTATAGGTGGTTTGTCTTGGATCTCTGGCAGGGGTGGGTTTTCCAATGGGAGCAACGTTGCGGCGTGGTGTAACGTTTGAGAGGAGTAGATCCCTTCTTCCCAATGATTACCCAATCTGCAAAGAAAAAGGGAATTATAAAACTACAAAACAGATCACATATACCAACTTCGCTAATAAATATGGAACCTACAACGAAGTATCTTTATACGCATACATAGCCATTGAAGTTCAGTTTATTTATCATTTATCTTCATTGTTAGGGGAAATGTGCCTATGATGGTCCCCTTAAAAAAATAGCTTCATAATAATTTTAATTATTTACTTAGCAGACGTTAAATATGACCACATAACGTCTCGTTATTTGTACAATATGGCAAATGTTTCAAATTTTGCAGAAAAAGTGATGTTAAAAATCTATTCATAATTTATTAAAATCCTGTTAAGGGTCCATCATGGGCATATATGCGCTCATGATGGACCCTTTGGTACGCCCATGATGGACTCGTTGCATTTTGTGTAAAATAATTAAATACCAAATTATTTTATTAGATCAAAAGACATTACAAACGATAAAAAAATTACACATGGTATTTTTAAGAATAAAAAAATTACGCGCACAATTCACACACAAATTGTTTATGTCGAGGATTTACATCTGCACATTCAGTGTGACACCAATTCTTACACACTTGACAACGAATCCATTTTTCATTTTATCGTGAATGCGAAAATAGTTCGTTACAGTAGATGCAAGCTGCATCGTCCGAGTCGCCTTCTACAAAAGAGCATTCACAATCGTCTTCAGAACCACTTGTAGTTGAAACACGAACTTGCCTTTTCACTTTTCTGGCGTCTTGTTTCGTTTTTTTTTGCTTCTTTGTTTGCAATTTTTTGTTTTATATCTTCAATTTCTGGCGTTGAATTTAAATATCCTGTTTTACCCCGTTTTCTGCATTACTTGAGATACTCCAGCTAAAGGAGGAGGACAAATATCTTCTACCGAGATGTTTAGAACTGACGATGATGTTGATTTCTGATCAGTGGGGCTTTTTGATAAACTTTCAATCGAAGAAACATTTTGGCTCCAATGTTCCGGTGGTGACTTCTGGTCAGAACATTCTGGCAGTGGGTTTTGTTCAGAATTTTCTCTATCTGGAAGATAGATCCTCGAAGACATCTGGATTGAATGGTTGTATTCCTGTCTTTTTAAATGCATTGATTGCATTTGATGGTAAAGCACTTTTTAAATACGCTCTATTAAAGAGACTGACTACTTTAAATTGGGTCACCGTTTTACCTGGATTCTGTCGCAGCCATAATTGAATTTCTTGGCCGTAGTAAATTTGAAGTGGTCTAAAAAATCCTACGTCCAAGGGTTGAACGTGATGAGAACAGTGAGCAGGAAAACAACACATAATAATACCGTTTTCCTTTGCAAACTGGAGAGCTTCAAAACTTTTGTCACTACCATGGCCATCGAGTAACAACAAAACTTTGTTGGTTTTAGAAGCCTTTGTATACCTTAAAAAATGTTGCAGCCACAAATAGAAAATATCGGAAGTTATCCATCCTTTTTCTTGAGCGAATGCTATACTTCCAGTAGGTGCATCGATCATAAGTTCATCTTTCTTTCTCTGTCGAGGAAAAATCAAAGCAGGAAGAACATATGTTCCAATTGCATTCATTGCACATACGACCGTAACATGTAGACCGCGCTCTGCACTACTTAAAGCACCAACTTGTTTGCGACCTTTACTTGCATACATTTTCTGCGATTTCTTTTGCACAGTTATCAAACCGGACTCGTCCATATTATACATGTTTTCCGGCGGAAAATGAAACTCGTCTAATATATTTGCTAATGCAGTAAAATGGCACATATATTTGGTTTATTAAAAGCTTGAGCCCTTGCCAACGAAGTATTTTCTGGAGTGCGTAATGATATTCGAGGATTTCACTTTAAAAAGCCTCTGACCCATTTCCAGCCTGCCGTCCTGGTTTCCTTATTAAAATTGTGGCTAATATTGTTTTCTTTCAGCTACTTCGTATACAAGTTTTAGCAAATCTTTACAAGTCAGGCCAAAAAAACGAGTTTCCATAGTAATAATATGGTCAGCAACTTCCTGTTCAATAGTAGTGGAGAATATTGGTCTTCGTCCTCCCAAATCACCTTTGATACTTCCTTGATGCTTAATAAAGCGCCTTTTCAAAGTCGTTTTTGGAACGTTAAATGTTTTTGCTGCCAGCTTAAACCCCATAGTTTTTTCTTGTATGCTTTTTAAAGCTTGTTGCATATTACTCTCGTTCCACTGTTGCCTTTTTTGTAGAGCCATTCCTGTAAAACATATTATGTTAATCATTAAGTAACAAAAACTGAAGGTGTGTCCAATTTTATTTTCTTTTTCCTATGATGGACCCCTAGTCCGTCATAGGTAACGACACAGGGGTCCATCATAGGCAAATAGACAAGGCAGCAAATTTAATTCTGTTACTTTTGTTTTGACCATTTTAACCTAAAACAAAGTATAGTATTTGACAAAGAAAGTGTAGTCATTTTATACAAAACAAAAGCAACACTTAGCTTAACGTATGTTACCAGTAAAATGCTACTTACCAAAAAAAATTATTAGATCAGCAACGCCAAATTTTAATTTTATTTCACAAATTTACTGTTATAACAGCCACGTGTCTGAAACTTTGCAAATACTAAACTACAAACTTCGTGCGCAAGCGGCAACCGGCGATGAGTATGTAACCGCGCGCTATTTAAAATTGCAGCCGGGGGTCCGTCATAGGCAGGGGTCCAACATAGGCACACTTCCCCTACAAATGATTCTCTCGGATTTCATATTACAGCCAACATTCATCTTCATTAGTCGTTCTTTTTTCTTATTTTTATAAATATGCCTTGAGCATTTACTTTATATGGCGTTCCATTAAGATCAAATTTAATAAAAACAACTTTTTTTTACAATAAAATCAACATTTTTCTGTAGAGGACATTTTTGCGATCGAAGTTAAAATATTTTCAAAAATAATAAGTATATAACGAATTAATATTTGTAATTATACGGGCAGGTAAAAACATTTAATATATGATTATACTTACAGCCTACATAGATGGTTAATAATGACATCACAATCGCCTAACAGTTCCACATCAAAGTGACAATGTGGCAAGGGCTCCCTATTGATTAAGATTTGAGGAACTTGTGAAGGAAGGCTACTAGGTATTAATGCCACCGGTCGGACCTTCAAGGAACTGCCGATGACTAGAAGTAAGTCACACTCCGACTTGTCTTCTATCATAGCTTCGTGGAAGGTATCTGGAAGACCTTCTCCGAAAAAAACTATGTCAGGTTTCATGATACCTACAATAAAGTAAATAAGGTCTTTATATTGGTCATTATTAATTTAAATGAAATAAACTAAAGTTATATTTTAAATATATTTAATCCACCTGCATAGTCTAAACTTCTTCATCCACTTTTTTTCCCAATTTGTTGTTTCCAATATTGCAGCATTTCCCGGAACGTAGATTACATGTCCATTAATACATATATATCTTCCTCTATACTTATATATTCATCTATTACATATTCTTCCGGAGTTATCTCCAAACTTTTCTTATATCTGATGAACTGTATGCATGAATGATTTTATCCCAAAATTCCATATTTGTTCCTGAAAACATTTAATGGTTAAATGGCCAAAATTATACAGAAGAAAGAGGCTAATGGTTTTGTATACATCGAATTAGCCATATCTATCTTTCGACATAGGCTTCTCCTATAATCCCTTAGTCTCTATCCTCAACATTTCGAAACCATTTTGGTCAACATGTTATTTGAAGCTATAGTTTTCTTCACTTGCGTCTGTGGTCCATGATCGCCTAAATACAGCGTGATTCATAAAGAATGAATATTGTTTTACGGATAATAAATAAACCTTCTAGATTTGTATATTTCAATTATTTTCGTATACAGCTATACTCTGAAAATTATCGACAGCACAGTTTTTATGGCAACTTTAGTTGGCTGGTATCTTCCCTAATATGTTGATGTAATCCTTGTTTCAAGTAGGGTTTATAAAAAACCATAATAAGGCAGTAGACTTTTTTACATTGTTCACAAATTATATCACATGCACAATTGAAGACATAGTAGATAAAGGTGTCATGTCACATTTGATGAAAAAATGAGAAAGTGCTATTTTTGGACTTCCCTGGTATATATTTAACTTTTAAATTCGACCCTATTTTTACAAATGTTACAGTTAAAAAGATTATTTGAGTGATAAAGGTGTCATGGCACATATACTTCTACTAGATTTAGTGAATAGAGGTGTTATGTCACATTTTTTAGGACTTGACACCTTTATCGCATAAAAATGAGGAAGTTTCTTATTCAGAGCTGGTCTAATGTCAAATTTTTGAGGTTATTTTTATTGTGTTTAACTAATAAGCAGTGCTTACATGTTGTGTGTACTATTAAAGAAATAAGTGTTTTAATAAAAAATCGGGATACAGAATTAAACGCATGTTTAAATTATTAGAAGAACAAAAGTCAACTTGTTTCAATATTGGTAAGTATGTTGTAACGATGTTTCACTAACAGTGAATATTATATTCTCAAAGGACTATAATTAATATTACAGTTGTTATTTACATTGCTATTGGGACATTTTTTATTTGCAGATAATACAAACGATGGTATGGTTTTCAAGAAGCTGCGACATCATTCACTAATATCAACGAAAGTTCCAGATCAAAATGTATTCTCTCAATTTACTCAGAACTAAAAAACTGTGACATAGCACCTTTATCCACTTATGTCTTCAATTGTAATGTATCGATTAACATTTGAAAATCTAGTTGTAACAAAACAATTGAAAGTAAATAAGTAATGAAAAAGTGTTGTTTTTTTTTATTTTATTTTACTTCTTCATACTACACAAGCGGTTCAAATTATTTTAACGTAGGATTATTATTTAATTATTATTTTCTATTTCTAATTTTTTTTATTAATTTACATTGAATATTAATTTCTTTTGTTGTATAATCAACTTCTGCAATAATTATGTGATTTATTTGATTTTTAAAATTAATTCAGGATTTTTTTTTTGTAATTTGCCAACAATGTCAACTTAGATCTCTGACATATGATATAGAAAATGACGTGCATGGGGATTTATAGTGTACCAACTGAATAAGATTTTTACTTTACTGTTTTTTAAGAAATAAAACACAAAAATACTTTTTTAAAAAACAAAATTAGAAACGGGTACACCCGATAAATTTTTACTTACTTATTTTTTTAAATATATCATATTTATTCCTTACCATGGATAATATAGTGCGGCATAGAAAGTTGCATTACAATTTGACGATTTTTTTTTATAAGTGTAATTAATAGATATAAAATTAAAAACTTACCAGACTCGACAAGTTCTCTGTAGTTCATGTTTACTTGATTAGCTCTAATATCGTCAGTAGACACGCTACATTCTTGACCGGGATGGCAGACTTCACAAAGGGGTATTTTCTGGGCAAGGACGTGATCTCGAATCTTCTCCGCGGTGACTTTATGGCTGCATTTCGTACACGTCGCTGTGGCAAAAGAACCATGACATTCTATGACTTTGTCGATCTTGGCTTCTTTTTCGAGAGTATCGATGTTTTGGGTGTAGTTACGAAGGAGTTTCTTCTGTTTTTCTAATAATTTGATAAACCTGCAAGAGAAGTATAAGATATATTTCAGAGAATGGTATTTTCTATAAATACCTCCGATTGCCGACAAGAATGTAGAGCGTCAGAATAATTTTAAACTGTTTGAATGTACAATTTATGTCCATTTTCACGTGTATCATATTCTATGCTTGCTGGATAGCAGAAATTTGACGAAATGCCCCTGATGATGCTGTAGATAGCGAAAGTACTTGGGCAAGATTTGATTAAACTTGTGCTCGATATTTGCCTTAATTTTCATTTATTCGAGCATTGATTTGACTTAAAGTTCATATCAATTATAATTTAATTTGTTTAATACTGCAACGCTACTGCCTGGGTCTGATCAGAGATATTCTATTGTCTGCGCCATTAACTATTTCGTGGAAGGGCTCGCCACTCGATTTGAAATAAGCTGTAGTTTAGGTGAGATTTATATATAATTCTTGAGGAGGCTAGGACTCACACAGGGTTGTAAGCCAGTATGAGATGATAATTTTTTAGTAGTCATTTTAGACAGACATTCTAGTAGCAGGGACGTAGCCAGGGGTCCGGATACTCCCCGAAATATTATTAAATATTGATTATTTTAAAATTCAATAAATACGTAAAAATATTAAATTGGACAATTTTATTTTAAATTTAACAAATATTTTGATTTTTCCGAAGTTTATTGTGAAAATAAAAATCGAATAATATTCATTCTATTAACAAAATCTTTTAATATGAATTAATGCCTCTTAAACTATTTTAAATGGTGTTCTGGTACTGCTTTTCGACAGTGTTTGGATAACTTTTCAGATTGACTTTTATATAAGCATAGAGAATTTATAACTACATATTTTTTAAAAATCTTTCAAATATACATAGTATAATATAGAATACTCGTTTTCATCGTTCTTGGCGTGTGCCTGAAATAAGCTACTAAGTACGGAATTTTTAATATTCGTCTCTCTCTGATACACATATGCGTAATTCAATTGTGCGAGTCACGTTCGTCATGGTAAAGTGCGATGAGAAGGGAATGAAGAGACCACTCACGTCTCCCAGTATTGTAGCAATAACACCGATGCGTTTTACCAATACGGTGTCGCTGATAAGTTCGGCCTCTTTACGAATACAGATAGTTGGCAGTGACGTGTTTTTTTTAACATGTTACCCTGACCTGTGCAGGTTTGAAGTAGCTGATGAAATAGTTTTTATAAGTAAACAGTTTTTAATTAATTAATAGTTTGAGCTCTTACTGTGTGGAATTCCATTACATAAAATAATAATCTCGACACCTTAAAAATTCCAGTTTATTATAAATTAACTCTATCTCTTCCGATACCCATTGCAATAATAACTTGTGGCATTGTTGTTGAATGAGCTGGCTAATAGGTTTATAATTGTAGCAATTACCATTGATATTTTATGTTGTTTTAGTCGATTTTAGTCAGTCATTGTTGGAATTTGTTCCGAACAGTTTTACTTATTATTTTTTGTTGTGAATACCTAGTTGTTCTATTTAATAAAAAATATGCCGGGAAAAACGATAACAGGAGAAATGCGACAATGTGTAGTTCATTTATTGGAGTATTTTAAAAAAGAAAAAGAAAACAATGGACCTTTGCTTTCGTTATCATCGGTACATGAACTAGTAGCGGACGCTTTGAAAATCAGTCTTCGCACAGTGACAAGAATAAAGAGTGAATACAAGACAGGGGCAGCTCTTACTACACCAGGAGAGACACGTAATATACAAAAAAAAGACTAATGATGTCAGTGATACTATAAAAGGAGAGATTAGAAATGTACTGTATGGCATGAAAGCAAAAGGAGAGCACGTTACAATTAAAGTTCTAAATACACAATTAAGAAACAAGCATCTATGACGGTTCTGATACAAGTTTGTGGCGTCTTATGAAAAATTGTGGGTTTTCATACAAACTAGAAAATAGTAGACGAGTGCATGTGAGAAACCATGTATTGTCTCCAAACGACTGTATTTTTTGAGGCATTATATGAGAAATTTTTTTAAGTCCAAGCCCACTTCAGTTCGTTTTTTTAGATGAAACATGGATATTCCTAAAAGGGGCATATAAACGTACTTGGCAAGATGACTGTGTGAAAAGCATCAGAAAAGGACACGAAAATACAGGTAAACGCTTTGTTGTTTTACATGCCGGAAATAGGCAAGGATTTGTTAAAGATGCTGGATTACTGTTTTCTACGAAATCGAAGAGTGCAGACTATCATGATTCTATGGAGAAAGTCTTTTTAAAAAGTGGGTCTCCGAAAAGCTGATACCAATGTTGGAGGAACCATCTCTAATTATTATGGATAATGCCTCATACCATAGCTCTTTAATAGAAAAGTTACCGAATGCCAGTTGGAAAAAATCGGACTTACAAGAATGGTTACGAGCGAAAAAAATAATTTTTGACGACGATTCGGGCAAGACTATTGAGTCTTTGTCGCCAGAATAAACCACAAAATACCAGGTACGTTATAGACGAGCTACTCCAAGAACATGGCATCAGGTTTTGAGATTGCCTCCATATCACTGTCAATATAATCCGATTGAGTTGGTCTGGGGCATTTCTAAACAATACTATGATCGTCGTATTGGAGAACATGGACGTGGAGATGAAACAGTGATAAAAGTTTGGGGCGATGCATTAGCTGAGGCAACACCTGCAGTGTGGGGCAAGTTGTGTTAACCATACTGAAAAATGAATTCAGGACGACTGGGCAAAAATGGTCACATATGATGAAAATGAAAGTAGGATTATCATCGATATGGCGGAAGATTCCAATGATGAAGACAGTTCCAGTGAAGACGCTGACTGATTAGCTAATTAATCAAGGTCAGTACGTTGTAACAGTTCAGAATTCGCTACAGTGCTTAAAACTTAAAAAATCATGTATCATTTTTTAATTAAAGTGGGTTAAATAATTAACACTTTTTTTGGGTATATTTCAAAATCCTTTTAAAATGTACTTTTCGTTATATCCTGTCCTATTGTACTGCAAACTAGAAAAATATTTCTTCGCAATTTATACGTATATTCCGTTATTAGAAATTTAATCAAAAATAATTTATAATTTTCTTTTATAACTATTATTTCGTTTGACATGCTACATTTTGCTCCGCCACTGGAGGAGGTAAACGAATCGAGCTTAGACAAGGAAAGACAGATGAAACAACTTATTGCAATTGTTTTTACACGCACACGCCAAGAACGATGAAAACGATTATAATAATCTTTCCAAGGTCTCTAATATAGAAGAAGTAATAATACAATGTTGGTTTGTAATTTGGTCGATGGGATACGTATACGTCCATTGCAGTCATTTATTAATAATATACGTATTTGTATAATGTACACAAATAATCCAAATACTCTAATACATAATATTTGGCAATTAAAGTCAGATTCCACTATTTGGAAGAGTGATTTCATTGTTTGAAGTAGAGAAGTGAGAAAAGACGTATGAAAGTCCAGTGGCAGTACACTCACTTTTATTTCAACATTAATTATATTATACTTTTTTAATATTATTAGTTCGAAATAGGTCAAAATATATTTATTCACAGGTTTTACTGACGTTTCGATCTCTATTTATATACAAAAACCGGTTTTAAATGAAAATTTTTGTACAATGAATTAATACGGTTTGAAGTTGTTACTAAACAAAAATACGCCGAGAGTCTTCGTTTTCTTGATAAAGTACAAAATCTTTCAACTGTTCACATATGGTTTTAAGAATTCAAGAAGAATAGCAAAGCCGCGAGTTTTTTTTAAAAAAAAAAAGGATCGTTTGCTACGATTTTGTTAGAGAATTGAACCGTCAATGCTAAATGGTATACAGTAGAAACCCCTCTCGTCCCCCTCGGATAGTCCGACGCTCCGGGTAATCCGACCTGCCTGGCTTCGCGGAAATCCCCGGCGGTCGATTTGTTTACGACGAAAATTTCTCCGAAAATCACAATCCATTCTGTCAGTATTATTTCGAACTTTGTGAGTTAAAGTGTGTACATTATTTTCAACATGTCAGGAGCAAAACGTAAACACGTTACGCGTTCGTTAAGTGAAAAACTTGCAGTGCTTCAAAGGCTGGACAAAGGTGAAATCACTACAAAAAATTGCCAAGGAACTGAATGTAGGCGTTACGACTATTAAGGATTGGAGAAAAAATCGAAAAGAAATTGAATCACATACAATGACGATAGTAGATGGAGAAAACGCTCTTAAAAAGCGAAAAACATTAAAAAAGCCTAAACTTGAACTGCTTGATAGTGCTCTATGGATGTGGTTCAGTCAAGAAAGAAGGAAGGGAACTCCGATATCTGGCCCAATTATAAAAGAAAAGGCAATAATTTTGCACAAAAAACTAGAAGTCGGAAGTGAATTTAAAGCCAGTGAAGGCTGGATTGATCGTTGGAAAACCCGTCATGGTATCCAGTTTGTCTCAATTTGTGGTGAAAAAATTATCTGCTGACGTCGAGGCGGCTAAGGAGTTTTCTGTGAAGTTTCAACAAATTGTAAAAGAAAATGAACTGTTACCTTGCCAAGTCTATAACATAGACGAGACAGGCCTAAACTATAAAATGCTTCCAAACAAAACCTTAAGTGCGTCAAATGAAACCGTAGCGGGAACGAAACTCATGAAAGATAGGCTAACTGTTGCTCCTTGTAGCAATGCTGATGGAACCCACAAGCTTTCGCTGTTTGTCATAGGCAAATCTAAGAAGCCCAGGGCTTTCAAAAACATAAACTTATCATCAGTGCCGGTTTATTATCGCAACCAAAAATCTGCTTGGATGGACTGCAATCTTTTCAAATCTTGGTTTTTTGACGAGTTTGTGCCATGTGTTGAGAAGGACTTGACGAAAAAAAATCTTCCTGTTCGAGCTCTACTGCTATTAGACAACGCACCATCGCACCCTTCTGAGGAAGATTTAGTAAAAGGGGATATAAAAGCTATCTTCGTCCCACCAAATGTCACATCACTTATCCAGCCTATGGACCAGGGTGTGATAGAATGTTTTAAAAGGCGTTATCGCCGAAAATACATAAGCTCGATTTTAGAAAAATCCGAAGAAGGATGTGATATTTTCCAAGCCATGAAATCACTCGACATTAAAGATGCTATCTATACAATGGCTGAGTCTTGGGCAGAACTAAATCCTGACACGCTAAGAAAATCTTGGCGTAAGCTTTGGCCAGAAGTTATGATCGAAATTGACCAGGTCGAAGATGAGCAAAACGACGTGCAGGAAATCGTTACCAATCTTCAGACCCTGGATGCAAATATACCTGCTAGTGAAGTTGAGGAGTGGATTGAACAATGTGACAAAAACTGCGAAACCAGTAAAGTGCTGAACGATAACGAAATTGTTGCCGCTGTTATGGAACGTGACGGATGGTGACGGAATCGTGAACTCAGAATCCGACAGTGATGATGATGACGAGCCTCCTGTCCGGATTTCACACACCGATGCCAAGAATGCTTTTGAAATTGGCCTTCAGTACATTGAGCAGAACTCAGCATCAACACCGATGGACATCGTGTGGATGAAAAAATGGAGGAACATTGCAGCTAAATCCAGAATTTCATCTTGTAAACAAAAATCTATTACTGATTTTTTTACTAAGTAGGCCTACATAGGTAAGCACTAATTTTTATGCTACCTTTTTTGACATTATATATTTACATACATATTTAATAAATAATGTACAAACAAAAGCTTTCTTGTATTTTATTGAAATATAATTATTTATATATTATATCACTGTAGAGAATAATACAGTCGTTTTTTAAAAACACATACATACGTCATACACAATGACTTTTTCTGATAATCCGACCTTTCTTGCGTTCCGACCATACTGCTAGTCCCGAGGGTGACGGATTAGAGGGGTTCTACTGTATAACCATTTTTTTTTGCTAAAAGTGATTGATGAATTCCGCAAAAACAACTGGAATCGTTGCATCCTCTTGCACCATGACAATGCCAAGTTTCTCACTGCACGTATAACATCCGATAATTTGAAGGCGAAAAACATCGATTTGGTGGGCATTGCTGCATACAGTCCTGACTTGGCACCCTGTGATTTCTTTGCGTTCCCGAGAATCAATAACAAACTACACAGTAAACCTTTTAAGATGCATTAATCTATAAATAGTTAAGTGAGAAACTTTTTGGGTTCTAAACAAGTTCATAATCTCATGAATTAACTAGTGATATGACGATATAGTTCACATCACTGATGTTCTGCAATGGTATTCATAAAAATAATATAATTTACCTATGACAAGGGCTGGGTTGAAACTTTCCGGGGTAGATATCTCTAGCAAATTTGAAGAAAGGCCTAGGATCTTGACTAAAGTAGCTAATATCGAACATAGCTTGTGGATCTGGAAGATTCGGAAAATCGATAGCTAATCTGGAATAAATGCCGTCTCTGGAACGGAAATCAGGAATCCCACACGACACTGATACTCCAGCTCCTGTTAATACTATTATATTTTGAGCACCTGCAAAGAAAAAAAAAACGTAAAATTTTGTTACAAATTTTAGATGTCATCAGAAATACCTTTCAATAATCGCACCACGTCATCCAGTGTGTTTATGTGCCGAAGTTTATTCCTACGTGGGGGTTCTGATAGCATGTTGATAATAAGTTTCCATATCGCTATGTCGTCTACATATTCAGGAATCTGGCTATCCACTCCCAATTCTGATAGTATTTCTCTGGGGTTGACGCCTTTTTGCATTTGTTGTTGAATCTGTCAAAAATATTCAGGAGTATTTTAAAACATGTTTCACTTTTATACACAAATATTTATTAAATGATAAGCTTCCTTATGAAAATAAAGTGTTTGAGGATATTTAAATGAGTAAATTTAAAAGTAAACATACATTATATATATATTTATAATATATATATATATATATAATATATATATATATATATATATATACACAGGGTGTCCCAGACTAATTTACCCACGCTATATTTTTTAAACGAATAGAGATTTTCAAATGGGACAAAAAGTGATCTATTCTAATTTTAAAACACTTTAATATAGCGTAAAAAAAATGATCCCCTAAATATTCATCCCTTAGTTACAACCCCTAATTTTAATTTTTTTAATAGCACCCTGTATATTTTTTTATAGTTTTGGATGTGGTCTTCTATAGTCTATTCAACAGATTTATTAAAAATAAAATCGGTTTATAAATAATCAAGAAAACAATTAATTTTTTATTTTTGTTAATTAAGTGTCCCAGACTAATTTATCCAGGCTATATTTATTAACAAAATAGAGATATTTTAAGGGTCAAAAACTGGTCTATTTCATTTGTTATACACTTTAATTTAGCGAAGAAAAAATCATCCTCTAAATATTCATCCCTTAGTTACAACCCCTAACTTAATTTTTTTAATAGCACCCTGTACATTTTTTTCTAGTTTTGGATGTGGTCTTCTAGCGTCTATTTAACCGATTTTTTTTAAATAAACCAAATTTTGAAAAATTAAAAATAATATTTAAATAAAAAGGTTGTGTAAGAAGTTATACTAATAATATTTCTTTTCTATTCTATTTTTTAAGGCTATCTTGATTAATTTAACAAAAATAAAAAATAAACTGATATTTTCTTGATACCTTTTTACAACCCATTTTATTTTAAAAAAATCGATTAAATAGACGATAGAAAACCACATATAAAACTATAAAAAATGTACATGGTGCCATTAAAAAATTTAAGTTAGGGGTTGTAACTAAGGGATGAATATTTAGGGGATGATTTTTTCTTCGCTATGTTAAAGTGTATTACAAATGGAATATACCAGTTTTTGTTCCTTTAAAAAATCTCTATTTTGTTAAGAAATATAGCCTGGATAATTTAGTATGGGACACTTAATTAACAAAAATAAAAAATTAATTGATTTCTTGATTATTTATAAACCGATTTTATTTTTAATAAATCTGTTGAATAGACGATAGAAGATCACATCCAAAACTATAAAAAAATATACAGGGTGCTATTAAAAAAATTAAAGTTAGGGGTTGTAACTAAGGGATGAATATTTAGGGGATGATTTTTTCTTCGCTATGTTAAAGTGTATTACAAATGGAATATACCAGTTTTTGTTCCTTTAAAAAATCTCTATTTTGTTAAGAAATATAGCCTGGATAATTTAGTATGGGACACTTAATTAACAAAAATAAAAAATTAATTGATTTCTTGATTATTTATAAACCGATGTTATTTTTAATAAATCTGTTGAATAGACGATAGAAGATCACATCCAAAAATATAAAAAAATATACAGGGTGCTATTAAAAAAATTAAAGTTAGGGGTTGTAACTAAGGGATGAATATTTAGGGGATGATTTTTTCTTCGCTATATTAAAGTGTATAACAAATGGAATAGATCAGTTTGTGACCCTTTAAAAAATCTCCATATTGTTAATAAATATAGCCTGGATAAATTAGTCTGGGACACTTAATTAACAAAAATAAAAAATTAATTGATTTCTTGATTATTTAAAAACCGATTTTATTTTTAATAAATCTGTTGAATAGACGATAGAAGACCACATACAAAACTATAAAAAAATATACAGGGTGCTATTAACAAAATTAAAGTTAGGGGTTGTAACTAAGGGATGAATATTTAGGGGATGATTTTTTTCTAGGCCATATTAAAGTGTATTACAAATAGAATAGACCACTTTTTGTCCCATTCGAAAATCTCTATTCGTGTAAGAGAATAGCGTGGGTAAATTAGTCTGGGACACCCTGTATATATATATATATAATATATATATATATAATATATATATATATATATATATATATCCGGTTTTTTAGGCGTTACGCCCGTCCGGTAGGGATCTATGGAGGAGTATCACCGAGCCGCAAGCCCTTATCTCTTGCCGTACTGCTCCACCATAGGCCGATCAGATTCCAGCATATTCTAGTCTAAGCCGCAGATTCATCTAGAATTTTAAACTGCTGCGTTAGACTCTTTGTTTTCTGTACACCGAGCTGGGGCTCGATCCTACATCCACTGAACCATTCGACAGTGAAGCGAATGAGAGGCAGCCGCACAGCCCGCTGAGCTATCTGACCGACAAACATACATTAACAAATCATTAATAAAAAAAAAGTCATACTTACCCAAATCATACTTCCAGCCATTGGTTTCCAATCTTGTCCGGATAAATCCGACAATCCACTCAATTCACTAACTGTTGATGCATTATCATCGTCATCTTCAATTAGACTATCCTGTGACATATCTTGCTGATCGGTATGAGTTGGCGTCTGCATGAATGACTCCGAAATGCTTGACATGGTTTCTTGGATGTCTCCGGGATCTGTCCGAGGGGAGGTGTGTAGTGGTGTGGCCACCGATTCCAAATTTGAGGCTTCATATCCTGAATCACAGTCTGCCGATATGCCTGCAAGAAAGAAACATATTTAAATGACATGTAACTAAATCCAGCTTATGTGAGGACACATTTTTAAAAGGTTTGTTTGTTTGTTTATTTAACGGGATGAACCCTTTTTCCTAACAAAAATTACAATATACACATATAATTAACATATAAACTGTAGTCATATATTACAATTTTAAAAAGTATTAATAACATTAATGTCTCAATTTCTTTAAACTATTCTTGAACGAGGACACGGATAAATTAAACAATTCAACACTATCTTGCAAATTATTGGCAGTTCTCAACATCCTTGTGATTGACTCACTTTTACCATAATTAGTGTGATGAAACTTTAGTCTAAACAGGTCAGGAGAGCGTGTTCTTCTAGAATTTACATTAAAAACAATTAATTCCAGCAGTTCCGGACAATCAACATAACCATTGCAATTTTATGCAAAATTGCATATGGTTATGTTGATTTTTAAGAATTTTATGCAAAAAACGTAATTCACACTCAGATTCTCTATTTTCTAAAGTTTTCATATTAAGTTGACAAAGAATATAGTTATAATCACAGTTAGTTCTATTAAAACCCATTTTATACCTGCAAATTCTTAGAAATTTATTTTGAACTCATTCCAACTGATCAATATACATATTATAATATGGATACCAAATAATACTACAATATTCCAAAATGGACTGAACTAGAGAACAATACAAAATTTTGAAAGTAAATATTGAAAATTCTCGGGAGTTCCTTTGAACAAAGCCGAGCATTCTATGAGCCCGCGATGTAATATTATTAATATGCCTATCAAACATTAGTCTTTGGTCAAATGTAATTCCAAGGTCTCTAATTTGATTTAATTCTGTAATCGATACTTCCTTAAGTACGTATGTTCTATATAACTGATGTTTAGTATTTCTGGAAAACGTAATTTTATAGCACTTTTTTATATTTAAATATAAGGCATTAATGTCACACCAACGAGATAAATTATTTAAGTCAGACTGAAGAGCATCCATATCAGAGGTATTTTTAATTGCTTTAAAGATCTTTATGTCATCAGCAAACAATAGAAATTCATATTATTAATTACTGATGATATATCATTCACAAACAGATTAAATAGAAGTGGGCCTAAGTGAGAACCTTGAGGTATCTCAATATCTCCAATTCCGTATCCACGAAGTTTAGCAATTAATATTTCGTGATTTACCCTGTCAAATGCTTTGGCAAAATCAGCATATATGGAGTCAACTTGGTTTCCCGATTCCATAGAATCAACAATGAAGTTTGAATACAAAATAATATTCTAGTAAGTAGATTTCTTTTGATAGAAACCATGTTGTTGACCGAGAATTAAATTTTTACAATCGTAGGTTAACATATGTTTAACAAAAAAATCAAGCAACTTTGGTAGTTCAGACTGCAAACAAACAGCCCTGTAATTTTCAACATTATTATTTTGACCAGATTTAAAAATGGGTTTTAAAAAACTCACTTTCCAAAAATCAGGAAATGTAGAAGAAGTTAATGACTTATTGAATAATAAATGAATAGGTTTAGCAAGAGTGAATACACATTTTTTAATAAAATACATTGGTATACCATTTGGACCTGCTGTCAGTTTCCACGGATTATTCTGTATCTTATCAATAATATCCTTAACACATTAATTAAATAATTATTAGCATTAACATAATTTTCGTACTTAAATTAAGAATCTGATTTATTTTTCCTTTATTATAGACAGTCGAAAAGAACCCAGCAAATAAATTCACAATATCTGAACCATTTTCACTACTTTCATTACCATAACCCATACTCGATGGTAGAACATGAGATTTGCGTTTATTATTAATTTATTTCCAGAAAGAACAAGAATTATGAAAAATGCTAGCCTCAATTTCAGTCACATGACGCCTTTGTAAATACTTGCTAAGCTCTTTACATTGTTCCCTGAGATCGGAAAAAAGACAATAGTTCTCATCACCATCAGTCATTTAAAATTTTTTATGTGCTTTTTTCTTCATGTTTTAACTCTGATGTAAACCATTTGGGATATGTAGATGTTTTAAATTGTTTTTAATGGTATAAACAATTCGATTAAATAAAATAAAATATCATAAAAATCTTTAACTACGTCATTAATGCTTTTCATAAGAAATAATAAATTCCAGTCAACTTCTGCTAAATGATAATTTAAAGCAACATAATCACCATTTTTAAAGTCAAAATAGTATTCTTCATAATTAAGGACAGATTCTTTTATATCAACAATTACGTCAAAATTGACTGGTGTATGATGAAATCCCTCCTCAAATAACGGATCCAGAGGTACAGAAACAGATATATCAGGAAAGCTAGAAAAAATTAAATCAAGAAAAACATTTCTCCGGTTGGATATCGTATTGACCTGGTATAAGTCTCAAACGTTAATGATATTACATATATCGTTAGCTGGTGAGTTTTGGTTAGCCTGTACCGTGGTACCATAAAGACTCCAAACGTGGTATCATAAAGGTTCCAAGTAGAGAAAATGTGGATTTTCTGTGAGCGATAGAGCAGATCCCATTGCTTAGGAAACGAATGACACAAAACTTGCCCATCAAAAATAGTTTTTATTCGTTTACGGGATGTGATACAATTTCAGCCTTTTATAATAAAGGTAAAAAGAAATTATGGAAAAGATTCAGATTTAATAGAAAAGGCAAATATATTTTATAACAGCACCTCTAAAACAGAACAAATTCTAGAAGCCGGTTTGTACTCTTCAATAATGCTATATGCAGTTCCTAAAGACTCAATATTAAATAAAATGTAAAGAATAAAAGACATGTAATTTTATCTAAACAATGCAGTATGAGTCATTCATTAAGGCAACCACCAAAACCATTGCGGTGAAATTATCAGCCTTCGTTCCTACAGTGGGTGCTCTCAACGAGCATATTAAAAGATGCTACTATAAACTTCAAGTTTGACTTGGAAATAAAAACATTAGTCCAACTGATTGAGAATGGACTACTTTAGTAGATCTTTGCAAAACAATCCTGCGCCCGAAGAACTTATGAAAATTATATTTTGCAACTGCAAAAAAGGACGTGCTGCATCTATTTGTTGTATTGCAACACCATTTGCGGTGAATATGCTGGTTAAAATTGTCTCTTGACAATCTCGAAAAGGAAACGAAAACATCGATATTGAAGATGACTATAATTTTTAAACAAATATACTGTACTAGAAAGTGGCCCGATTCTAACACCCAGCCCAATCAGGATTCTAGAACGTATGTTTTGTCACAACAAAAATATTCTATTCAGATTTATTTTGTGGTGGCAACTAAAAACTGATTGATTTTTTCTATCTTAATATATTCTTTATTTCTCCCCTTTCATTTACTATGTCGCATGTTAGGATTCGATCAGTTGTTTATTTAGTACTCAGAAAGAGGCCTTCTTTAAGCTAATAAATCAAAATTTGTCTTATAGTAAATCCATTTTTATCAATAGTGCCCTATAATATCTCATATATCGCTATACGTTCATTAATAACGAACATACGTGTTAGTGCCCTTTTGGTAGTAGCTTTGTTTGTTTTTTCCTAATCTTAATCATAATATATTTAATTTTTATTCCTTATCCCCCCTTCATTTAACGCATCACTCTCCAATGGGACCAATAACAACGGATATATGACGTAATGCCGGCGCTGGGGTTTCGATACGGACAGACTTGTATTGCCCAAATGCAAGAACAAGACGAGACATAGACAGTCTTGGTCTTGCGCCAATACACCTGGTCTTGGTCTTGCAGGAACCGCACATCTCGCAGTTACCCATTAGCCTTTTGTTATTTATTAAACGTTACTTTAGATCTTAGAACAACGTAACAGAGTAGGTACATTTAAAACTTGAATTAACATAGCCATAATATGCCTATGCTTTAACTAGCAGCTATCTACCATGCCCCACAGGAGGTCGATCTGTTTCTTAATAAACATTTGCATTAATAAGCTTACATGTGCCAAAAGATGGTTAAAACAAAAAAACCAAATTAATAATATAAATTTGACTGTATTTTAAAGAACATTATCTGTCTATAGAAAATGTCACACCGAGAGTGCAGTACGGCTAATATAGGAATGCACACTTGCCGGATTTCACGCCTTGTGCTTGGCGATACAAACAGGTCCAAGTGGTAGTCACAGAACCGTACCCAGATCTCTACGCCGGGCTCTGTTATTTATTATAAAATAATATATTGATAAAATAATTGCCTTCAAGTAGCCAAATAATAGGCATGAATTTGAATAAAAAGACCTTAAGATTTTAGCGAGAATTTTATTATAAAACTGTATACTTTATTAAAATAACAAATGTATTTTAAACTACATTTCCTGATAGCTATAAATATAGCGGGTGGAACCTCCGGTAACCCGATGTCCGAGCACCCAGCCCAATATCCAAGAAAAACTTTTTCTTTTGTAAATATGTGAAAAATTATCAGGAACGGAATATCGAAAAAGCTTTGCACATTTTTTAATCCCGGCGATGTTATTAAAAAAACAAGTTGCGCACCTGAATCACTGCGAAATGTGGCAAAAAATCGACATACATGTATCAAGGGCACACATTCTTTAGGTGATAATATAACAAACTGTAATCCATTTATTAAAGCAAGATAAATGTTGTTAACAAATCTTAGCTCTAGTTTTATATAAAAAAAATCTTGAAAACATAAATAGGTAAAAAAATCAGCGATAATCAAAAGAACTTATTTTAAATTAAGGCGATATCTACTTAATAAATACTTTAATTTACTAAAATAAAAATACTACATAATATATGTCATTGTGTAATAAGTATATTTTTTCTTATATATATATATATATATATATATATATATATATATATATAATATATATATATATATATATAAGGTTCTTGAACTCCTAAGTGGAGCATAGAGCTTCAGTGAAAACGCGCCATCGGGTTCTATTTTGCGCTAAGGCCTTC